GTGAGCAGACACAGGGCTGTGTGTGCCCCGAGGTCAGGGTGTGTGTGTACTTTAGTGAGCAGACACAGGGCTGTGTGTGAACCCCGAGGAGAACACGCAGGGAGGAGTGAGGGGCTGAAACGCTGGAGCAACATGGTGAAAGGAGGAGATTCTGAAGCTCTAGGGAAGAGAGAATGGGGTCCACGCCGGGAGGAGCTGCTGGGTCTCCATCAGGGCTGCAAGGTGCTGCGGACACACCCCACTTCTGGGAGGGGTCACCGCGATGCTGATTTGGAGAGGTGCGAATCTGAGAAGGTCCTACTCAACCCCCAGCAGTTCCCCTTCTGGGTTGAAGCCCAGCACGCCGCACTTGGAGACGTGCGCTGGGAAACCCAACATAGCCTCGTGTAAGAACGGAAAGTTAGCAACAGCCTGCACACCCACCCAAGAGAACAGGCTGTGGTTTACGCCTGCTGTGCGCTCCTTATAACGGCTACACAGTCCCACCAGGCTATGGATATGAACACGGATAAGTCTCAAAACCTAACTTTGATTTGGAAAACAGCTGTGCATGCATTACATTCAAACACTCAGAAATAAAGTGACAGAAGATACACAGAGACACAGCCACAGCATAAAACCGCTGACTGGAGAGCAACGTGCGGCTTCAGGAAGAGGAAAGAGGGAGCAGTATCAGGTGGGCGGTCCGTTCTCTCTGTGACATTTTATTTCTCTAAAAAAAGTTTGAAAACAAAGATACAAAATATTTGTCAAAGCTGGGGGCATCTAAACAGTGCTTATATAACTGCTCGTCTATATCTGTATTCTTGAAATATCTCACAAATGTAACTTTTTATTATCAGTATAGGTTGTCCCAGACAACACCAGCTACCCGTACTGCAGAACACAGACGCCGCCGCCTCTGTCCGTGGTGATCAGCAATAACGAAGGCATGGCAGCCTCCCAGCCCAGCAGAACGGGCCACTCTGTTCTCCTCAGTAGCCTGGGCACGTGAGGCTGCTGTTAAATTGTGAAGAACACTGTCAGATGTAAACACTCGTTTTATATGCACGTCACTATGGAGACAGACAGCAAAAGCCTCAGGGAGGAGTGGTCACCTGCCTTTTGATCTCGTCTTTGCAAGTCTCCATATGATACTTCAGTAGATGCAATTCCGGGCCAGAGGACAGCAATATAAAAGCATCTACATAATAAAACTGTGCAAACTGTATCGGCTTAGAGAACATGTCTTTGCCCTGCAATAAAAATCAGTAATTATTACCAATAGAACCAATGTTAATAAAAGTGACTGCTGTTCTGAATAGGCAATTCTGTCATCCCAACATCCGGCATCTGTGTATCCTAAAAGTGTAGATGTACTTACAACCCATCCACAATTTTCGTTTCTGCCCATTGATAACTTCTGACAGACTTCAGGAGTAAGGTTTTACTGGAATAAGTGTGAGCTTTGAATTCCAGCTTTAAGAAAACTGAAACTTTGCAGTAAACATATTAGGTAACGAGCGTTTTATTAAAGCCCAAATTTAAAACATACTGATGTGTTAAATGTCATTCTGAGGTCTCCACTCTCAAATCTGTATCTCACAACCAACAAAACCGTGACATTAAGAAGCTGGTGTTAAGCCCCTGCTGTCAGCGGCCCAAAGCGTCAGCCTTACACTGCCCTGGCCTGCACGCGCTTACCCTCCAGGTTCGTCTGTCTGGCACTCAGGCCCCTTTTTACAAGACCCACAGAATACCGATGTTAACAACGTCCTTGACGCTCTCACTGCGTCTCCGTGCCGTGGACTTCCGCTCACCAGCTCCTGGCTCCACTAATCAAAGCTGAGCCTCCCACGTGGCTGCCCTGCCCCGTCCCGGTAGAAACACCACTGTCATCGTCTCTCCTCCCCGTTCTGCTCCAAATGATCCCTCGTGAGCTCATTAAAACAAGTCACCTTTCTCCCCCAAAATATAATTCCCCCACATAATATCCCCTTGGCTGCTATTATTACTGCTACTATAAAATCAAAGGAGCCCTGGTGGCACCGTGGTTAAAGCACTGAGCTGCTAACTCAAAGGTCAGCAGTTCGAACCCACCAGCTGCTCCACGGGAGAAAGATGTGGCAGTCTGCTTCCATAAAGATTACAGCCTTGGAAACCCTACGGGGCAGTTCTACCCTGTCCTATAGGGTCCCTATGAGTCGGAGTTGACTCGATGGCGGTGGGTATGGTTTTGGGTTTACTATAGAATCACACTGAATTAGTATTTAAAATTATTCAAGTATTTTGTATTAACATTTTTGCCATTTTTAGACCATACAAGAGTAAGGACATATTTACCCATACATATATACGCATGTGTGTATACATACGTGTATGTATGTATATATGTATAGTGTGTCTTTAATGTGTGTGTACGCATTGCGTGTGTGCACATGTATGTATACATGCATAGCGTGTCTAACGTGTGTGTGTACGCATTGCGTAGGTGTGTGCACATATGTACGCTGCTGTTGCTGGTTGCTGCTGTCGAGCTGATTCCCAGTCACGGTGACCCCTTGTGTGCGGAGCAGAGCTGCTCCGTAGGGTTTTCAAGGCTGTGACTTTTCAGCAGCAGATCACCAGGCCTGTCTTCCTAGGCACCTCTGGGTGAGTTTGAACCGACAACCTTTCAGCTGGTAGTGGAATGCTTAGTCTCCACCCAGAGACTGCACGTATACATACATTCACATATAAGAAAATATTCAATCACGAATTGTTAGCACATTGTAGCTGTCTGACAGCTGCTCATCACAGACACGCATCATTCCTCACCAGGAGTACCGTGCGCGCAGCCCCGCGGGCCGACCACAGCCTCAGGGACCTGTCCTGGGACGCGGACACCAACCACTCCCCGCCGTGACTCCAGCTGACGGCACTCACCGGCCCGTCGTGACCTGGAGGAACACAGCAGCGTGAGGCACCCGGCTCTGACGTGACAAATACCCAGCAGCAGCATTCTCTAGCAGCTTCACACAACATGCTCAGAACTGCATTTTTTAAGAAAGAAATAACTCATTTAAAAGCATTTTCCAGCTATAGTGATGCCAGTGGAACTAGAGCCCATACTTACCACGATAAGTTTTAATAATGGTATTCTACGTGAAGGGCAGAGCCCTGGTGGCATAGTGGTTAACAGCTCGGTTGCCAACCAAAAGGTCAGCAGTTTGAATCCACCAGCCGCTCCTTGGGAACCCTATGAGGGAGGTTCTCTGCTGTCCTATAGGGTCGCTATGAGTCAGAATCAACTTGAGAGCTAGGGGTTTTGGGATGTAAAGGTCATATGCATCTGTAAGTGTACGTTTTAAGAAAAGAAAATTATAAAATATGATATTATCTGCAACTTCATGATAATTTACCAGTATTTTAAAGAACTGTTATCCTTTTAATAGTGAAAGAAAAAAGTCAAAAGAATTTACCAATCATATCATTTAATTTGATATTTATTAAATATAATTTAATATATAATTTGATCATTTGTTGTGATAGATTTCAAGTGTTATCTAAAATAAAAATGGCTGCCTCGAGGGAGCTAACAGGCAGTACACGATATTTTAATAATAACCTGTCTATACCAAAACCAAATCATTGCTGTCAAGTCGATTCCGAATCATAGCGACCCTATAGGACAGAGTAGGACTGCCCCAGAGGGTTTACAAGGAGCGTCTGGTGGGTTCGAACTGCCAACCTTTTGGTTAGCAGCCGAGCTCTTAATCACTGCACCAAACAAAAATCTGTTGCTGTCGAGTTGATTCTTACTCACAGCACCCAATGTGTGTCAGGGTAGAACTGGACTCCACAGAGTTTTCAATGGCTGATTTTTTTGATGTGATCACCAGGCTTTTCTTCTGAGGTGCCTCGGCATGGACTCAAATTGCCAACCTTTAGGTTAGTAGCTGAGCACAAACTACGCCACCCAAGGACCTTAAACTGTATATACGCTATTGCATTAAAAATTAGTTTGATATGCCCCATAAAAGCTTCTGAAATACATGTGAATATAAATAAGTCAACTGAAGAATAAAAGAAAATAAGGAGCTGTATGCTTTGCACTTCCTATCAAAACACTTAAAAAGATATTTCTCTCACCACATGGCCCAGGTGAGGATATTTTTGTCACCACGTGGCCCACGTGAGGATATTTTTGTCACCACGTGGCCCACGTGAGGATATTTTTGTCACCACGTGGCCCAGGTGAGGATACTTCTGTCACCACGTGGCCCGGGTGAGGGTATTTCTGTCACCACGTGGCCCGGGTGAGGGTATTTCTGTCACCACGTGGCCTGGGTGAGGGTATTTCTGTCACTGTGTCACCCAGGTGAGGGTATTTCTGTCACCACGTGGCCTGGGTGAGGGTATTTCTGTCACTGTGTCACCCAGGTGAGGGTATTTCTGTCACCACGTGGCCCGGGTCAGGATATGCCTGTCACCGCCTGGCCCACGTGATGGTATTTCTGTCACCTCCATCTTTGGCCTTGTTCCCTGTCAAAGAACTTGTCAAACCGCCAAAATGTACCTTATAACATAACCCATCTTCATGTCTGGCAGTTAGGGTGTGGAGATCATTAAATTTAAAGGCGAAATTTAGAGTTACCGCTCATTCCACCCTCTCATTTTACAGAAAAATAAACTGAGGCTCAGCGGGGGTCGGGGGGGCGGGGACAGTCACGCGTATGCACTGGGTGTGTGCGGGACCCCGGGCACTCTAACACAGGGCAGGGAAACTGTCCAGAACCAGCCGTGTGGCCAACGGAACAGTACATCCGTGTAGAAGGAGCCTCAGCACGACGCACCCCTCAGCGCCGAGCTGCCCAGCTCACCCTGTCTGACGGGGCGGCAGGAGGCTGTGGTTGACGGAGGGTTTCCGCAGGGCTCCATCTCGTTTCTGGATCCCAATATCCCACAGTATCTTCCTAGATGTATATTCCTGGCTCCTGCTTCCAGTGGAGCATGTGCTGTCTCTCCCAGCCTCAGACCCTCCCCCATTTCTAAACTCTGACTTGTCCCAGCAACCATGCAGAAATGTCACCAGGACAGGGAGGCAGTCTTCAAATAACCCCACCACGCTCGGGTCCCTGTGAGAGGTGGGGAAGCCAACCCCTGCCTGGGAGTAAGACACAGGAGGATGGGTGTGAGAGCGGAGGAGCGAGGGCGGGTGGACAGGTGTCAGAGCACAGCCTCGGTGGGGCCAGCAGGTACTGCCGTGGCAGGTGCGGTGAGATGCGGACGTGACAGAGGAAAAAGCCACCCTGGCTTCCCACCTGAGCAGGGCGGCCCTCCGGGGCTCCTTCAGGGCGACTGTGGTGGACACGCAAAGAATGTCCCTCACGGGACCTGGGACACAGGTGACCTAAGGCTGAACGGTCGTTCCAGCTGCTCCATCTAAGCATGTTGTGGCTAAAACTGGAGAACATGTCCCCGCACGGTAAGAGTTCTCCGGAGTAGCGATCTCCTCGTTCTCACTGGCCACAATGTCCCCTTCGTCAGCACCTGAATTGCCCAGGTGAGTTAGAGACCCTGTCGTATTTGTGAGAAAACCAACCAAACAAAAGTGGACATGCCAGGGAAGGCTCACCAGTGAGTGCACAGGCCGTTCTGTGAGGCGGCCCGAGAGCGCGCCCAGGGGAAGCGGCCTGAGCAGCAGAACAGCCACAGAGCTCTGCTGCCCTCTGGTGGCCGCCTGGGGTAGTTGCTCGGCCCACAGAGGAGCGGCGGGGCCAACAGTCAGGACTTCGTGGGAAACGCAGGGCACTTTGATGGAGCATTGGTTACGTCTGAGACTACACCACCACGGAGATTCTGCTCACTCCAACACGCCTGCTCTGGAACTGTGGATGGGGCAGTCATCATGGTGTTGTAAATGGCTCCAAGCGTGCCGTCGGGGCACCCATGGGGCCGCGGAAAAAGCTTGACTCGGGGTCTGATCCTGCTCAGCCCTGCCCGGAACCTGACCTTGGCAATCACGGTGATCAGCAGCAGGGGACTCATTGTCCCTGCACATCAACCAAGCATCACACCACACGACCACCTCACCCACATGCTGTGAGGGTCCAGTGAGATCATCTGTCATACGAACATGCAACAAGCTGCCATCAGCTGTGATTCTCCAATCAGCCAAACTGTGGACCACCAACAGCTGAAACAATCTCATCTGTTCCTTCTCCTCCTCCCACGTGGCCTAGCGTACTGCTCCACGAGAGCCACAGAAGAAAGCGCTCGTGACGGAGACACCGAGAAGCAATGCCTCTCCGCTGCCCCCAACACCACGGACAGTCCCGACCGGCCCACCTGCTGCTTCAGCACGGGGCATCAGGCCGACTGTCCTAACTCCTGGAACGATGACCACAGAAACCCTCGCTGGATTTGCCGAAACAGGGCTCCCTCTCCCGTCAGCTCTGGTCCCGCACACACAAAAAGCGTCACTGTGGGAAACTGTGTGCTGCTGTCAGTTGCTGTCGAGTCGACTCCAACTCATGGTGACCGCGCGTCCAACACAAGGAAACACTGGCCGGTCCGGCACCCCCTTCCCGACCGTCGGTGGGCTCGAGTCCTCTGTCACACCACTGTGTGCCCTGAGTGCCTGCCAACCCAGGGGGCTCATCTTCCAACGCTGGGGCTCAAAGTTAACACGAAGGTCCCTTTACAGCCAGGGGCCTCCACTTCCTACTGAACGGCCAGCTTACTGCATCCTCTCTTTTCTCGGTTTCACTGCTGTAGTCAGATTTGTACTTTCCAGAGGTGTACATTCTCCTCAGAGCCAAACACAAAGGCCCCAACTTTTGATGTGACTGCTGTTTGCCCTGGTGCTCGCGTGTGAGTCGGTAAATTTCAGAAACAAACAGAAAGGAGTGTGAAACCCTCATCTAGGGTCCCCTCTCTCTCCAGTTTCAGGGCCTCCTGCTTCAGAAAGACACTTAAGAATGTATCTGGGATGGAATCTTCCCCCCACAGAACGGGAGTGTTATGGATTGAATTGTGTCCCCTGAAAACGCGTCAACGCGGCTAGCCCATGATTCCCAGTACTGTGTGACCGTCCTCCATTGAGTGATCTGATGTGATTTTCCTATGTGTTGTAAATCCTAACCTCTATGATGTTAATAAGGCAGGATTAGAAGCAGTTATGTCGACAAGGCAGGACACAGTCTACAGGGTTAGGTTGTATCTTGAGTCAATCTCTTTTGAGATATAAAAGAGAGAATCCAGCAGAAAAGAAAGGGACCCACTACCACCAAAAAGAAGAGCCAGGAGTGGAGCACATCCTTTGGACCTAGATCCCTGCACTGAGAAACTCTTAAGACCAGAGGAAGACTGATGACAAGGACCTTCCCCCAGAGCTGACAGAGACAGAAAGCCTTCCCCTGGAGCTGACACCCTCAATTCGGACTTCTAACCTCCTAAACTGTGAGAGAATACATTTCTGTTTGTTAAAGCCATCCACCTGTGGTATTTCTGTTATAGCAGCCCTAGGCAACTAAGATAGGGGGCCACCATGTTTTATACTGACCTGACAGAAGAAAGGTAGAAAGGGAAATAACATGGCTGGGCTCAAAGAGCTCAAGAGTGTGAGGACAGGGAGTGAGGGCTGGTCCCCCACCAGGCCAGTGTTCTACCCACGTGACAGACTAGGAGCCATGGTGGGCTGGGAAAGTTCTCCCCAGACGGCTCCACAGGCTGAAAGGCCCCAGAGTTTACTGATTTTAATTTCACGTGTCTATAAAAAAAATTACCTTTTATATAACTCTATAATCTTCAATGAAATCTTAATTAAATTTAACATTCTGAAATAACTGACCTCAGATTGTAACCACTGTCATCCCTCACTCATGGCCTGTCATGAGATGGCGTGGTTTCCATGAATAAGGTTTCCAGACCCATCCATCCAAAATGTAACCACTGTCATCCCTCATTTACATGGCCTGTCATGAGATGAGGTTGTTCTCACGAACAAGGTTCCCAGACCCACCCACCCACTCTGGGCGTCCACTCCGGGCCAGGCAGGTTGGGCGTCCACTCCGGGCCAGGCAGGCCGGGCGTCCACTCCGGGCCAGGCAGGCCGGGCGTCCACTCCGGGCCAGGCAGGCCGGGCGTCCACTCCGGGCCAGGCAGGCCGGGCGTCCACTCTGGGCCAGGCAGGTTGGGCGTCCACTCTGGGCCAGGCAGGTTCATCACTAGGCACGGAACTGAAGTACCACAAATTTTAAACCATTTTCATGGAAAAGCTTTCGAAATCTAAAGCATAAATTCCTTTTTAAACTAAACATTATTATTATAAAAGGTTCTCACAAAGGGATGCCCATCTGGTGGCACCCTTGGTTGCCGTGAGTCTCCACAGGAGACTTGACATTCAGCATCTAACGGTGACCATACTCAAACACTCCAGAAGATACTTGTATGATCTGTCTTAGATTATGATGGAAATGAAACACCCATTTTTTCTGTTTTCTGGATGAGAGGCCAATCATATTTTCAAAGTTGAGTCATGTGACTACCAAGCCCCTAGAGATGCAAAGTGAAATGATGTACTAGGACAGACAAGGGGCTTGAAACAGGGAAGGTGGGCAGTAATGGTGCTCCTCCCCAGACAGAAACAGAGCAAGTTCTGTGAAGCCAGTATTACCATTCACTGCATTTTCTTAAATCAGTGGCAAGCCCTTTCTCCAACCTTGTAATAGAGAGAGAAATATTCACAACTAACGTAATTACTTTTTGCATCAATTATTCAGCAACAGAAAAGTACCCATTTAGAGGTTCCCCAGAAAGCAACAGGCAACTTTTCATAGGAGGACTCAGAGCACGGCTCTGCCTGCAGGAGACACAGAAGACGCTGGAACAGCGTGTGCGGCAAGAGGGCTGGGTGTGACATCAGGAGGGAAAACGCCGTGGGCACGGGCAGGGGTTCCCACAGTGAACAGAGGAAACCCACCTGCTGGAAACTACCCAGGAGGTAGATTCTCTTCACAGCAGAGGCTGAGTGGACTCATCTCCAGTCCACCTTTAGACAGGCCTCTCTCGCCCAGACCGTGGGGGCTGCTGCATCCTCAGAATCAGCCCACCCGCAGAGAGCCAGGCCTGCGCCGGCCCGGGGCCCCGCGCCACCCTCCCTATCCGGACGCACGAGCCCTCCCACCTGGCCAGCCCATCCCACTCCCCACCAGCCTGTGCTACCCCACCACCACACCCCTCAAGAGTCGCTGAGAGTGAGGGTTCCCACTGCCGTCCAGGTGCTGATCCCACAGAAACGCACTGACTTCCCAACGAAGGGTTACGTGTGTGTGGTGTTTTGGTAAAATATCTACCTAACGCAGTTTTGATGGGAACGGCATCAGGAACCTAATGAAGAGCTGCACGAGTTTAGAGTCTGAGGACTCAGCATCCACAAACGCCAACAAGAGCTGTGAAGTTGAGATGACAGCCATTTTAACAACTGATGTCTCACCTCAACTACTGGCTACTTTCTTAAAAAATCGTTTGCCTCATTATGTTTATTGAAATGTCCATGAAAAAACCCTAGAAACTTTCCAGGTGTATTTAGATCACATGTCTGTACGAGATTCAGCTCTGCTCATTTCCCTCAGAATGCAACACCTGTTTGGACTCTGACCCATGGGGCGTCCAGGGATCCATAAACGCGGCTGTGATCTGAGTCTCCTACCTCTCACGGTTCTGCGTAACCTGGGTCATGAAATGTCATCATGTTATCTCCCCAGTTCAAGCCTTGGTTCTATTCTGCTGTTGCTGTTCTGAAGGAAACAAAAGTGGCCTCAGCCATTCATCATCAGGGCCAGCACGAGGCCCGTCCCTAAATTCACGCTAACACGCAGACGCACCTACCTGAAAAAGCAGCTGGCGCTCCAGTAAGGCTGCCATCGAAGACGAGCAGTAAATGGTTGGCTAAGCCACAGGCCAGACGCTGCCCATCACCTGCGTAAGGAAGAAGTTAAGAAATATCTCTAACAGCCCCTAACTCGTAGGGTCAAAGTTACCACAGGCAAAATGGAGAGTTTTTGCTAACTCTGGGCTCGTTTTCTCAGGCGTTGGGGTATGTGAAGCAAGCAGGCGACAAGCACTGACCACCTGCAGAGGGTCCCTCCTGTGAGCCGGACGCTGCGCTGACCGTGTACAGCTGCCATCTCCCTGCACCTTATGGAGCTGTCCTCAGTTTACAGAAGAGGGACGAAAGCATGGGAGAGGTGGCAACCTGCCCGGTCACAGCGCAGAGAACCGTTGGCTCCAGGATCTGACCCCAAAGCAGCCTGAAGACCAGGACCTCCGCCCTTAGCTAATGAGGTGCCCTGTCTCTCAGCAACAGACCTTGTAAGGGGCGTATTCGGCTGAGCAATGACATTTCAAACATTTCCCTAACATACAGTAAAAATAAACCACAGACGTAATCTGTAATATTCAAACTTGAGGATCTATAACAGCAAACACATATACTAATCTATAAAAGCAAGCCCATCAAAAAGATATTTACTTTACTGATAATACAACATATCCAATTTCCCAAAATTATTCAAAAAATAATACAGAACTGTACAGACACAATTACACAGAAACTGAAGGGAGTTCAGCAGGGTCGTAAATAATGATCATCTTCAGGCGACCCACATGAGATACTCCGCGAGTGAGTGAAGGCCAGAGGCGAGGGGTACTGGCCGTGGGCAGCCCTGGTTAAGGTGAGGGCATGTTCCCTTCAGAAGTCAGTTCAGGACCCAGATGCAGGTCCACATCTGAAAGAAAAGCTCCAGGGGCAGAACTAGCCAGGAGAGAACCGCCCAAGCTTCTTCACACATCACTCAGGAAAGGTGTCTGGCAAAGCCACTAAATACACTTGAGAAGCGAGTGCCCGCCACCGAAGGGGGAAAGGCCAGCCCCACAGGAGGATGCCCTGGAGACACCGCCCAGAAGGGCTAGCGCAAGTGACAGGACATCACCCTGCTGATGAGCAGACAGCCGGCCTCCCAGCGGCTTCCATCCTCAAGCCACCTTCTGTGGTCAGCCTCCTGCAGCCCACTTGGGGGCAGAGGCAGGTCAATTTATAACTGGTGTCTGGGTGGCCACAAGCAAGCCAGCCCAAGAGTGAACGTTCTAGAACAATTCCCATTACCTAGACCCTTGCAGACGGAACGACCCAGCTCCAGCGGGCGGTGTACCTGAGTACTGCAGGTGGCACACCGCGGTGGGTGCCTGGGCCACAGCGACCCGCTCGCGGAGGCGGGCTGGCAGGGAGCTCTCCAGAGGATAGTCTCTGCTTTAAGGAATATCACAGACAATAAAAGTCAGGAGAGGATCTGAAGTGAGCACTAGACTAGAAATGATTTCCCCTATTTACACATATGGTTTTATTTCATTAAACGTGAATACATATATCTACATCTAATGAAAATCTTACATTCAGGCCATGGAATAACTCTTTAAAACAGACTTTATTCCATACTGTCAAAACACGCACGTACTTTAAATACAAAACAGTAAAGATGTATCATGTTTAATATAAACTGAGGGGAATACTGTGATGATTCACTTGCCAGTTCCATACTCTTTATGTGTGGCTCTCGTGATACCCAGATAACCTGCAAATGGCTCACACTTACCATCCAAGAACCCACAGCCCCTTCCTAAAGAAACTGCGGAGAGCTGAAAACCGAAGGAACAGACACCAGGAACCCAGCACAAGGGCAGGGACAAGTGACACGCCCACACGAAGCCCCACCAAAGGGCTCCGGCCACCTCCCTGCCCGCCAGGCTCAACACCAACCCCCGCTGGGGTGGAGGGTACAGGGTGCGGAAAAGCCTCAATAAACGCGGGTAAACCAGGGTCCAGCAAGCTCCTCTGCCCACCTGGTGATTTTTCACATGTACTTGTGATGCATATTAAAACGAACAACACTTTAAACACTGTGGCCCACATCTCTCTTCAGATGATGTGATCTTTAACATCCAGAACTGGAAGGAGCCCCAGAAGCCCCTCCCAGGCTCCTCTTGATGTGAAAAGGAGTTTACGAGACTTGTCTAGAGCTCCCAAACAGCCACAGAGCCAGCCCAGCAGCCCAGCGCCAACATCCAGCCCTGATGCCCAGGCCCCGACGCCCGGCCCCAACATCCAGCCCCGACGTCTGACAGAGGAACCCCTTCCCAAGGAATGAGTAGCCAGGACCAGTCAGGACCAGCACTTAGCACTGCAATTTATTCACTTATTATGGAAGCAGCTTGAGAATAATCATTAGCTACAACGTTTTCTAAAACTAAATTTCATCAAAAAATTAAAAATTCCAGTTATTAGGGTAGTAAAAATAGCAGCATGTCTGAAAAAATCAGTGTGAGAGAATTAAATTGACTGAAAGGATATAAGTATAAATCATATAGATATATACGTGTGTATTTGCATATACACACACACACACACATACATACATACCCCTATGTGTAAGATCTCATGCCTGTTTGAAAAAAATCAGTTAAAGTATTAAAAAGGGCTCCACAAATTATTTCAAATTTACTTCTAACGCAAAAATGAGATTACATACCATTTGTAACTGTTCTTGCACTTTGAAGCTCTTTTCCCATCATTCTTAACATTAGTCTTTGGTGAAGACATAGCTACACTGCTGGAAAGAAAGCACGTGTCATTCTCAAACATTACAAGTTCCCGGTTTCTTAAGAGGCTTACATTTTACAGGGAACGTGTAAGTAAAATACACAAACGCTTGTTTGCCCCAAAATAGTAATAAATGGAATATTTAATTATTTTAATTTTGAGTTTAATAACTATTCTTCTAATTATATATGAACATAGACTATTCTAATACTGTAAAATAAAGTGCTTTTGGGTATAAAAATCCTGGAGAATACTGTAGTATTTACATACAAATTGTGGATTACTAGCAAAAACTAAGACAATGATCAGTTTTGCAAAGACCACATTGCAAATTATCTGTCAACCAAATTTTGAGAAATATGTGTGAAGATTTATACACAGAAAAACTGCTCACGAAGTCAGAATGCCCCTTAAGTTGAGAACCAAATAGGAGTCTCGTGACCTCACTTCCTTCTGGAGAAGAGATTTATGTAATCACAACACAAGTTAAGTCCCACTCAGGGATCCCATACTACAAATCCACTCAGAAACAGAGGTGAAATGTGCTGGAAGGCACGCTGAACTCTGCTTCTAGTGTAATCAGGATGTATGGCACGGAAGATAATAAACAAGCACCGTGAACTGGGCCATTTCTCAGATGAAGAAACGAGGACCTAGAGAGCTTGGCCTGTCCAGTCCCACGCTCCCTAGGACAACACTGGGAAGCAACCCCTAAGCTCTGTCTCCTGGCCAGGCCACAGCCAGACTCCTCTGCCTCCTGGGGGACAGTTCTGCCCGCTGTGGAATGCCCCTGCAGTCTGACTCTGGTTGGCACATCTGGGCCATCTGTCCTGGGGGAGGTGGACAGCCAAGGGGCCAACAAGGGGCTTCAGGGCTGGAGAGTGACTGGGTGGGCAGGAGGGCAGGGGCTGTGCAGGTCCTGGCGGGAATGAGGCGGAGCCCAGGTGTGAGTGGAGTGGGAACCCAGGAGAACATTCGAGACAGAGCACAGAGGGACGCGGTGGTGCCTAGGAGCAGCTCCTGGTGTCAGGGAGTGAGTGAGCAAGGGAGGGGGTGCTGGCCAGAGAGGGGGTGCAGGTACCTGCCACATGGGCCAGGCAGGGTGAGGGCCCAGCAACCGTGGGCCAAGGACTTTCCTTCCATCAGTCCCAGGTCACTCACATCTGAGAGAACTAGGAAACTCTACACAAGCCCCCTCTGCCATACCTGTAACTCGTGTGCAGGGCTATTTCAGGAAGGACAATAAATTCGGTTTGGGAAACACTGAGGTGAATGCATGGAAGCCGAGTGTCAGGAGGTGCAGACACCCCAATCCCCCTAATGGGGCAACAAGAAAGTGGCTCCCTCACCCCACATCTGCTTACAGGTGAGGCCCAGGCAGCTCAGCCGCTCAGCATCCTCACCTGGACCTGCATTCCCATGGGCATCTGCTCAAAATGCCTCAGCCAGCCACCTCCCCTGAGTCAGCCTCCACGTCCCATCAGCGGGCCTGGCTTCAGCTCTACCTGGGCTGACCAGGACCCACGCCTGACCTCTGACCTTTCCACCCTCACCAAACCTAAGGGCTCTGGGGTCTTGTTGACCCCCCCCACAGCACCTGAGCATCAGCCCACCTCCGCCGTCGCCCCTGCTGCCCCTCAGGGCCACCGAGTAACTCTCCCACAGGGCTGGGCACACTTAGCCACGCCCCTCCCACCTGACCACATCCCCCTCTGCACCCTCCCCGGCTGACCCCCCACCTGCCCCCTTTCTGGCTGCTCCCCTGCCCACCCCCGACATGTACCCTCTCCACTTGCCCTCCCAGACGCACACCCCATCTAGACCCCCTACCTACCCTGCAACCTACCCCTCCCCCCCTGCCAGCGTCCCTGCACATACCCCACCTACCTCTCCCCTATCTGTCCCCCTCCCCAACTGCATACCCCCACCTGTACCCCACCCTCT